ATATCATTCACTAATTCGAACCTTTTACGTTTAGGCCACGGACACGGTGCAGCAAATGCAGGAACTTTCATGGGCCACAGCCATGGTGGCGGACACTCTCACGGCGGTGGACATTCCCACGGTAGCGGTGGACAATCGCATGGAAGTGGTGGTGGCGGCGATGGTGCAGCAGGACTTCTGGGTGGCCTCGCCGGCAAGATTCCCGGCCCATTGGGTGGTATACTCGGCGGAACCCTCGGCTCCTTCAGTAAGACTCGCGACGGCCCTGGCGATGACGACGCACCTACTGGTTCATCTTCCCACTCACAGCCCACGCACGACTGGGGCTCCTTCCAACCGTACCAGTCCCAGTACGCTGGCGGTGCACCTCAGGGGCAGTATCAGGGCGGTCAGGGCGCGGAGCCTGCGTATGCGGTGCCTTCTGCTTACCAACAGGGCTACGAGAATTATGGAACTGGTCCAGGAGGATACCAGCAGCCTCCGCAGGGAGGTTATGGTGGGGGATACGGGGGATACGACCAAGGTGAACCACCTTCTGGTGGAAGGCCATGGGGACAGGGAGGGGGTAACTCGGGATGGTGATCTCTGGGACTAAGAGCTCCCTTTTCTGTAATGGGCACGCTGTCAATTGAAGGTTTGCGTGGTTACCAATCAAGGTGTATGATGGATGCTGGATATCCGGCTGGCTTCTTCTTTTCTTTGGGCAACAGTTAGATGAGCATGATGAGTCAACTTAATGAATCTTCTTCGAATTGAAGAGTAGAGACTTGATGCATTATATCTTTACCCTCCTCAATCATCCACCATCTTTTATCACATAACCACTAGAAGTATTTATTTATCAACAAAAAGACTTGACGCTTCCCCATAAAATACAAAAAATGCCCAAATGCAAAAGCCTTTATAATACCAGTTTGAACGCCGGCCGGTGAATGCTAGCGGTCATGGTGTTTCTGATGAATAGGCGGGCCAGTGGTGGTGTTACATAGAGATACAGGAAGGGATCGCGGTGGCGATAGGCTCGAAAGGAGAGCTACTACTGCGGGTCGCATACATTTATTCGTTGATCTTAGCGAGGAGTCTAGAGGTGTAACGGTCAGCTTTGTATGTCACTGGTATGATGAAGGGATGTATGGTTAGACACGTACTCATGGTCACGGAAGAGAGAGAACTCCTCCTCTCCAACCTTAAGGGGGCTTCCACCGAACTGCACATATAGTTAGCATCGTATCCACTTCCATTCATATTCATCCCATCTTTAAAACCAAACATCCGTCTCCTTCCAGCCTCATCCTCGTTCCCTTCTTCTCCTTTCCGTTGATTTTGAAGATTGCATAAAAAACGTACCTGAGGAATCAAGACCTTATCACCGGGAGCAACACTGGGAGTGATCCTCTTGCCATCCTTGTCCAAGGCGCCGGGGCCGACGGCGAGTACTTTGGCCTCGTTGAGCTCCTTGACAGCGCTGTCCGGGAGGAAGATTCCGGTTGCGGTCTTGGCCTCGGGCTTAATGCGCTGAACGAGGATGCGGTCGAGAAGAGGGGCGATGCTGCGGATGGACTTGATGGCGGACTGTGAATGGTGTTAGTTGATTCTTCTGGTGGAATTGGGTTGCGCGCAGTTTGCGCTAGATGAGATGAGAGATGGAAGGAAGATGCGGTTGTTGAGAATACATACCATTGTGATGGAGATGGAAAGGGGGTATCTTAGAAGATGATGATGGAGTGGGTATGTGAATTGAAAAGACTCGATTATTGTACGTTTGAAAATTGGGGGATGGAAGAGAGGATGAGGATGTTTTTGTTAAGCTTCCTAGAAAATTCGAGAACGGAGGCTGTAGGGCCCGTGCGCTCTCTTCCCCGAGAAGCTTTGGTCAAACCTCGGAACTGGGGCCCTAACGCGCCGCATGAAATCATCCGCGAAGAGGTTCACTGAACGGCAGACTTTGTTGATCTCATTCGCTCCATATCTTTTGTAGGCTGTTATTTCGTTCATGTGTCTTTTATGTGGAGATGCAATGCTGCCCGTATAAGGGGCTCATCACCCGCACCGACGCGATATGCTTTCATAGTAAAAAAAAGATGGTATAGTTCAGGGAAGCCTGAGGGAGAGGCCCTCCCAATTGCAGACGATGAGTTCGGAAATTCTTTTACGGATCTAATCAGCAGTGGCGCATGGGAGGAAAATAGGATCATCGGTGAGTCTCCAATATTGGGAGCAAGAAGTAGGGCACCTTCGATGAGACTGACTAGAATGCAGGTCTTGCCGTCAGCGGCGGTGTAGACTCCATGGCACTGGCAACGCTATATCAAAGATTTCGGGAATCACAATTGATTAAGGGAAATACAATTCTTCCCCCCAGATTACACGGCTTCGTAGTAGATCATAAAGCGCGCGCGGTGAGCACCGAGGAAGCAGAATGGGTTGCCGAACAGTTGCGCTCTCAGCGTATGTAAACCCAGTTTGAATCACAGATACCATACTACACATTGCTAATGGATAATAGTTAAGATCCCCACGACCATTGTTCCTCTCACCTGGCCATCCGCTACAGATCCCAAAGCTTTCGAAACTCACGCCCGTACATTGCGTTACCAGGCCCTTGGACGAGCTTGTAGGGAAAATCATATCAATTCGCTAATGGTTGCTCATCACGCCGATGACCAAGCAGAAACAATTATGATGCGGCTGTTAGCTATGCGACATAGGTCGGGGCTTCAAGGCATGCGGAAGATCTACGGAATACCTGAGTGTGAAGGCATTCATGGCGTATATCAGAGTGGAGGGGCCGTGTACAAGTCTTTACAGCAATTTGGAAACCATACAAATACGGCGCATAACATACCGTTTGAGATTGAGCAAGGGGGGGTGCAGGTCTTAAGGCCACTGTTGAAATTCAACAAAAGTAGGCTTATAGCCACCTGCAAGCAGCATGGGACCTCTTGGACCGAAGACCAGACGAACCAGGACAAGTCGCTCACCCAACGGAACACGGTACGGTATATTTTTCAGAATCATCCTCTCCCGCAAGCCTTGTCAAGCTCATCTCTAGTCCAAGTGGCAGAGCGCATGCAAGCTCGCGTGGATGCGCGGAAATCATTTGCGGAGAAACTCTTCACTGAGTTACCGCTCAAACTTGATATACAAACGGGCTCCTTGGTTGTCCGTTTTCCTCCATACGAATCATTACTTGCAAAGCCCATTCTGTCCACTACAGATAGAGCAGAAGCTATGGACAACGCCTATTGTCTCTTAACGAGAATAGCAGAACTGATCAATCCAGTAACCAGATCTTCGGTTAGCTCATCTGCCGGAAGTGTATCGCAAATATGGCCTGAGCTGGGGTCAGCTGAAGAGGTATCGTCCTCGAATTCGACTAGGCAGAAGAATTTCACAGCTCTCGGTGTATGGTGGCAGCCCCTGGAAAGCGTCCCAACCCTTTACGGCAATGTTGAAAGTGGAAAGTATTGGTTGCTTTCGCGCGAACCATTAACTTCCAAAGAGCTACAAAATCACAGTCTTCAAGTAGCATTCCCTCCTTTGTCCCCCTCTGAGCTTTCAACCTCACGGAGTAGAGGGTCAACAAGTCTGCAGTGGCATTTTTTCGATAACCGTTACTGGATTCAAGTCCGAAACAACACAAACCAAGAAATTATACTGCGGTACATGACCCGCAGCGAATTGGAGACTATCTCTGCCAAAGGAAGAAGAACGGCGAGGAAACTGGGGGAAAGGTCTTCCTCCAAACACTACTACATTTCAGCCGTTCTCTCCCTGGTCAAACCCAATCTTCTTCTTCGCGGTCTCCCCGCACTGTTTGTACGCTCAAGTGATGGGAAAGACACACTAATCGGTCTGCCTACGCTCAACCTAGACATTGCGAATAAACAGCCGAAGTCCGCTCACACTTTATGCGACTGGCAAGTACGATACAAAAACATTGATTTGGGAGCAAGGTCCATCTCTGATGTTGTCGTTCCGGGCATAAACAAGGATGTCGCTTTTGCAGCTGTAGCAAGTAAAAAATCTAAGAAGCGAGCTGATCGAGAACTCCAACGTGAGGGAGCGAAAGTGCTGAAAAAGCACCTCGAGCAGCGATCAAAGCTAGTGCATGAGAGGTGGCGAAAAGAAAAAAAATTCCCTGAACCAAGGAAAATCGATGGAGAGAGGAAGGATGGCGGTGTTCAGAAATTTAATGATGAGCCTGATACCTCTACTGACCAAAGGCCTCAAAATAAGCGGAGGCCGTTGATCAGGAAACGCTTGGTTACCGACACCAATCCCTTGAACATCGCCGATGCAGAGCATTCCAGCGAAGTGTGGGACAGGATGCTGTGGGGGAAAGAGGGCAGTGGATTGAAAGGAGGGAAAAAGTAAGGTCCAGCTGGCTGGGAAGTGAAGGAACCCCGAGAATATTCATCGTGTTCGTATATTTGTACAATATTGCACGCGTTTTAGACGTCAAGCCTATTCGTAAAGCACTAGATTCACTAATCTATGTCTACAAACACATCATGGTTATCAATACACCTTCCAACCAATTATGTGTAGCATACTGCATGCAAGGACGTGCGCGAACATGTCCTTCTCCTATCAAATACGAATACATAAGTAACCTGATAACCATGAAAAAAATGTCCCTACATTTTCGTCTTGGGCAGATTAAGATCAGTACAATCCATGTAGGCAAAACCAAAACAAGAGGGTTGCTGATTGATCAATTACATCAGTGTTCCTTCCACTCACCTTTGTTGTTATCCCACCTTGTGCTGCAGACGAACGCTTTCAGTGCAAGTAGTTGTCTTGACAGTCACTCACCATTCAGACGTTCGAAAAGAAAAAGGGGAGAAGGGAATAATTCTAGTGGGGAAGGGAGGAAGGATATTCTCCATCTAACAAACTCTATAATACTGTTGCGCGCCATCAGCACACACAAGTTCTTAACCAGGTCAGATGATCCATAAGACCGAAAAAAAAAGGACCAAAAAGAAAAAAAATCAAGGACTGAACCGGAGTCGAACCGGTGACTTCGGGAAGGCGGTATTTTTTGATGTTGTGCTGTTTTAAGGCACAAACACACTGCAGTCCTACACTCTACCACTGAGTTACCAGTCCATTTGACATTTTGTGAAATACTGCGCATAAGTTAATAATATACAGAAAGTAAAATAGTGGGGTAACGAAATGGAACTGAACAACGGAACAAAGAAAAAGGGGGGAGGGGAATGTGATGGTGAAAGTGGGGCGGGGGGCAACGCCCGAGATTACGTTAGGGGTGGCGGTGTAGTGATGTGGGGTGGGGCTAGGCTTCTGAACCTTTCTTAGATGAGGTTTTGGGTTTATAAAAGGGGGCGCGTACGTAGCTAAACCTAATTATTGCTAGAGATTTATATCTAAGGAAAAGGCTTAAGCGAAGATTAAAAAGTCTAATCCTGCGATATACACCTGTAAATAAGGATATTATTTGGAAAGTAAAACCCTAGCTCAGCAATGCAATATCATCTTCCAGGAAATGGGTAGTTCAATAGCAAGATAAATTTTGCCACGATCAGCACTTGAGTGTCAAAAAGCACTGCGGCTCGTTTTGCTAAGCTTCCCATTAGTTACTGTTATTAATTGATTCACTTCCGCCGTCCTGGACATCCTTACGACACGCAATTATACATAGTAAACTAAACTAACTATCATATATCGTGCGAGGGCAAAAAGCCTTAAATTTATAGTAGAAAGAGCGTGTTAAATATATTTAAAGCGTGAACTAAAGATACATTGCCTCCTGCTGGCACCCCGTCCGCATAGCCCACTTGAAGCAGTTCTCCTACGTTAAAAATTCTTTCAACAACTATCGTGACAAAATATAAATCTTCCTTAAGTATTAATCCTGCAAAACTAACCTGGCAGGCGGTAGGTTCCTACAAGGATACGTATCTAAACAGCAAGCGCGCGCTTTAAACACTCACCAACACTTTAGACATAAGTCAGACTCCTAAGAACTGCCAGAGATACTGCCTGAAAGCAGGAACGACGTATGCCGGTCTCGAGAATGGAAGGGAATGCAGGTGTGACAACGAAATCCAAGTCCTAGCCAATAACACCCCTGTTGCCGAAACTGACTGCAACAAGCCCTGCACAGGCGACAAGACAATCTTTTGTGGACAGGGTGTGCTCGTATCTACCTTTAAAACTATGTTGTACTCACCGTACCATGGATCCGGCTTGGCTGCTACGCTGAGGAGACTGTAGGCGTCCTAAAAAAAGAGAATCACTGTCTTGGGTAGATCAACAACCAATACACGACAAAATTGCATTAATGAATGCAGTAAAGGGGGTTACAGCTAGGGAAGCTGGCGAGTGACGGCACGGTTGGATGGTGGGAATTTCGACGAGTCCCTTGCTCCATGTCTGAAGAGATTCTGACCAAATGATACAGTAACAAGACTTTTACCGGAAACAAAGACGAGATTTGTAGCGGTGTTTCAAGGTTGAATGTGTTTGTGAAGTCACCGGTAGTAGTACTCCTTCACTGGACCAAAATTAAGTTTATCTACTTTTACGCAAATGAGTATATTTAGTTTAAAGGGAACCGTAGTAGAGTCCCAATTACATTTGATGCACAAGAAATTTCTAGACCAAATTAACCGAGAACATAAGCCGTCGCGCCTCCATTATTCTGGACGATGCTACCACTCAAGTAGGTCGCGTTCGCATCGGCAGCGTTGACGTAGAGCGGAGCCATTTCGACAGGTTGGGCTGGACGTTTCAGTGGCAGTATTCCTACGAATAGACTTAGTTGCTCAGTTGTCATGCCACTTTTTGCCAAGAGTGGTGTATAAGTCAAGCCTGGAGCGACCCCATTGACTCGTATACCCTTGCTTGCAAGAGAGATACCCAGTGTCTGGACCAGACTTGCGACGGCGCTCTTGGTCGCTGCGTAGTCGTGTACGCCATTCGTGGGATTTGCCACAACATCAGAAACAGTCCAGAGAATGGAAGAACCAGGCGGCATGAGTGTAACAGCTGCGCGTGTCAGAAAGAAACCGGCGTAGACATTGGTGCGGAACACCCTATCCCATTGCTTGGTCGTGTAAGTTGTAATGTCGGGATTCGACATCCCTGATGTTCTAGGATTCGTGAGTGTTTATTTCAGTATGCCGTGTTTGATGTCATACCCTGCGTTATTTACTAAGATATCAAGACCCCCGAGTGCCTGTGCGGCCTGAAGCACCAAATTGCTGCAAAACTCTTCATCCAAAAGATCTCCAGGGATCTTCACAACTTCTATTCCCTCCTTCGACAGGAGATTCGCAACATCCTCTGCATCCGGCTCCTCAGCTGGGAGATAATTTAAGGCCACTTTGGCACCCTCTCGAGCCATGGCAATGACTATTGCCCGTCCCATGCCCGAATCTCCTCCAGTAACCAAAGCACGGCGTCCGATCAAACGACCATAGCCACGGTAACTGGTCTCACCACAATCCGGTTTTGATTTTGGAAAATCGCGTTGGAGAACGACAGTTGATGTGGGTGGAAGCGCCAACTCCAGGTCGTTGAAACGAGTTCTTGGGTCAATCAGAGCAGGGCCTAAATTTCGAATTAGTTGGGATAGTTTACAATGGCAACTTGGTGTATTCATCTTTACCTTCCGCAGTCATCTGAGCTCCGTTAACGGTGAGTGGATGGGGCATGTTTCTTGTGTCTTCTTTCGCGTTCGATGTATGTGTTCTTGGGTGCTATGATTTCGGTGGCTACTGAAGGCTACTGTAGAACATTTATATCTGTAGGAGGCCTTTGATCGGCATATACGCACTGTAGCACAGCTTTAGTTGACAAGACCATTTTTGGCTATGCGTAAGCTTATGGTCTTGTGATGAGCGCATGTTGAGCAGGTTAGTGGCGGGTAAACGCATGATCTCGTCTCCAATACTTCAAAGGTCTCTGAACCACGTAGTAGTCTGACCTAATATCATCTTAGCTTATTTTCCACGGCCCTTGTATTATTTTTGTGTCTTGCCCCGTTGTTGCTTGCTTCAATTGTGCCAGCAGATGTCCGAAACTCTTCCAGACTTTGCCGCAATTTCGGCAATGGAAAGACAAGCTGAATTTCTTTGATCTCAATTCAGCATGTTCTATCAGGTGAATATAGTGCCAATAATCACTCCGTATTTAACTAAAACCGCTTCTATCATCACCATTGCTTGATAATGGCGCAGTAATCTATGATGAGCATGCTAGACTTCCGCCGCATTATCTTGGATACTAGTGTTTCTTAAGGAATTATTTCAATATATTGAGAGCTGAAAGCACGTCGACTTAGCTGAAATGTACAGAAAAGGCTTTCACCCTAGATCCCATACATAGCCACATTGGAATCCATTCCTGGACGGACCAACACGAGGCCTTGACTATTCACAAATACGTCGAGCAGCTTAACCTCTCTCTGACCAAGGTCTAAGCTCTTGAAACTCCCTTGGACAGTGCTGTCGGCGCGTGAGGATGACCTCAAAATTATCTTTACGCCGCCGTGCACGTGCCTTCGACAACAAACAACTACGCCTCTTCATCACTCGATCCAGAAGCGACGACATCTCCAGCACCCAGTCTACCAGCCTGACCTCGTTCACTTCCTTGATTTTCCCATTGCTCTTTCTGCGGTACCGTCCGCTTCAACCCCGCCATCGGACCTCTCCGCGTGGTCGCCAATACATCTCTACACAGTTAGGCCATGTCATTCTCTGTCAGCGCTTTCAGCGCCGCGTCCGTGAGAAACCATGACTGTACTTGCACCGCCCACAACGTCTCAGTACCGATGTTGGACGGCGGCACGTTCAACCACACGCGCACGCGCAAACCACTCGTCTCCAGAACATCGAGCTCCTCACAACTGATTTGCAAGGTCGTCCTTATGACTCTCAAGAATCCACGGTGTATCACATCTATCATTTCACTCTCATTCTTGGCTGATTTTAAGTGGGTAGTCACGCTCTGTTACGCTATTCTTCTTTCTCGAGCATCCTCATAGTCATCCGCCGACGCGTGCCTCTTGGCCAGGCCGCCGTATCCATCTCCTGCAGACACTTTTCGCTTCTCAGATGGCTCCGAGTGAAATTGGCAGTCCGCCTAATTCGGAGACTTGGGGTTGTTGGCTCATTTTGCTTATACAAAGGTAAACTGCACCTGACTAGCTTATTGTTTGAAATTCTCTTGAAAATATAACAGCCGATGTGAACGCGGACTAAGACATCAACGAAGATGAAAGCCCTATAGGCGTTCTGTACGCTAAACTCTTATCCTTGATAGCTAGGGATATTAGTGCTAATTAACAAAATTTGGCAGCATAATAGTAGTGCAGCGTAAACATCTAGAAGATTCTTAGAGAGCTAGTGTCGCTAACGATAGTAAAAGTAAATTCCGACTTCTTAATTGTAGGGGAAATCAAACGTGCTATGACGTGCTGCACTGGCTAAGAAGCTATCTACTCTTTGCTCAACAGCTCGTAACAGAACACATCCAGTAACCACCCGAAGTGATGGCAACAATACACTCATTCCCGGCCCGCCAGATCCCAAGTCCACGTAGTTTTCCCTTCGTGACATGGAACGTTCCTATTGGGGCCGCAATACCATTAGCACAGTTTTTATCTAGAGTTCCTTGATTAATTCATGGTGGGTTCAATTGTGCGGAAGAATTGAATTGAAATTTTTCTTGAGGGTTTTTATTGCGCGCAGCTTCAATATTTGTTAAGAAGAGAAAGGATTCAAAAAGACAAGCTGTAGAGCCGTAAGAAGTAAAGTTTCAGTCTTTCTACGTAATTTGAGTGTAATAAAGAGACTAATTTCCATCCCGCTAGCACATCAATATTTGTTCAAGAGACAATGCATTAATACAAAGTGTAAGATAACTAGAATAATGACACTGCATCTTCTTAAACATCACGGTATAAATGACAGTTCATTCCGCAGCACAGAACCTACGTAACGGAACTCAACGATCCTCCCAGGGCGTGGTCGATGATATGTTAGTGAGTAGCCTAAAATTTTGTCTGGAATAGTTCAACGGCGATCATGGAAAGCTTTTGGAAAAATCAGACCGCAAGCTCTGTATAGGACAGCTTAAAA